GAGGTTCAGGATTAGGACTGATGTGGATGGAGGTTCAGTATTAGGACATGTGGATGGAAGTTGAGTGGATGGAGGTTCAGGATTAGGACTGATGTGGATGGAAGTTCAGGATTAGGACTGATGTGGATGGAGGTTCAGGATTAGGACATGTGGATGGAGGTTGAGTGGATGGAGGTTCAGGATTAGGACATGTGGATGGAGGTTTAGGATTAGGGCGTGTGGATGGAGGTTCAGGATTAGGACTGATGTGGATGGAGGTTCAGGATATAGGACTGATGTGGATGGAAGTTCAGGATTAGGACTGATGTGGATGGAGGTTCAGGATTAGGACATGTGGATGGAGGTTGAGTGGATGGAGGTTCAGGATTAGGACATGTGGATGGAGGTTTAGGATTAGGGTCGTGTGGATGGAGGTTCAGGATTAGGACTGATGTGGATGGAGGTTCAGTATTAGGACTGTGGATGGAAGTTGAGTGGATGGAGGTTCAGGATTAGGATTGTGGATGGAGGTTCAGGATTAGGACATGTGGATGAAGGTTCAGGATTAGGACATGTGGATGGAGGTTCAGGATTAGGACTGATGTGGATGGAGGTTGAGTGGATGGAGGTTCAGGATTAGGATTGATGTGGATGGAGGTTGAGGATAAGGACTGATGTGGATGGAGGTTCAGGATTAGGATTGATGTGGATGGAGGTTAAGTGGACGGAGGCTCAGGGTTAGGACTGATGTAGATGGAGGTTGAGTGGATGGAGATTCAGGATTAGAAGCTGATGTGGATGGAGGTTCAGGAGTAGGACTGATTTGAATGGGGTTTAGGATTAGGACATGTGGATGGAGGTTGAGTGGATGGAGGTTCAGGATTAGGACTGATGTGGATGGAGGTTTAGGATTAGGACTGATGTGGATGGAGGTTGAGTGGATGGAGGTTTAGGATTAGGGCGTGTGGATGGAGGTTTAGGATTAGGGCGTGTGGATGGAGGTTCAGGATTAGGACTGATGTGGATGGAGGTTCAGGATTAGGACATGTGGATGGAGGTTCAGGATTAGGACTGATGTGGATGGAGGTTGAGTGGATGGAGGTTCAGGATTAGGACTGATGTGGATGGAGGTTGAGGATTAGGACGTGTGGATGGAGGTTCAGGATTAGGACTGATGTGGATGGAGGTTGAGTGGATGGAGGTTCGGATTCGGACATGTGGATGGAGTTCAGTATTAGGATGATGTGGATGGAGGCTCAGGATTAGGACATTTGGATAGAGTTTCAGGATTAGGATTGATGTTGATGGAGGTTCAGGATTAGGACATGTGGATGAAGGTTCAGGATTAGACATGTGGATGAAGTTCAGGATTAGGACTGATGTGGATGGAGGTTGAGTGGATGGATATTCAGGATTAGCATTGATGTGGATGGGGTTGGGGATAAGGACTGATGTGGATGGAGGTTCAGGATTAGGATATGTGGATGGAGGTTAAGTGGACGGAGGCTCAGGGTTAGGACTGATGTAGATGGAGGTTGAGTGGATGGGAGGTTTCAGGATTTAGAAGCTGATGTGGATGGAGGTTCAGGAGTAGGGACTGATTTGAATGGAGGTTTAGGATTAGGACATGTGGATGGAAGTTGAGTGGATGGAGGTTCAGGATTAGGACATGTGGATGGAGGTTCAGGATTACAACTGATGTTTGATGGAGGTTCAGGATTAGGACATGTGGATTAGGACTGATGTGGATGGCGGATCAGGATTAGGGCTGTTGTGGATGGAGGTTCAGGATTTAGGACTGATATGGATGGAGGTTCAGGATTAGGACTGATGTGGATGGAGGTTCAGGATTAG